CAAATTACTTTCAACTAAGTAGAGGTATTAGACAAGGAGATCCCATCTCACCCTATATCTTTATCCTCTGTCTAGAAATGCTTACTAGATATATAAAACATCAATTGGACATCAAGAATTGGGACCCTATATCTTTAGGTTATAATTGTTCAAAAATCTCTCATTTACTATTTGCTGACGACCTTACACTAATGGCTAGAGCTAATGCTAAATATTGCCAAGCTATTAAAAATGGCCTTGACCAGTTTTGCTCTCTATCAGGTCAAAGTATTAACACTGCAAAGTCAAAATTACTTTTCTCAAAAAATTGCAACCATACTATTATCAGAGACATTTCCACTATGTTAGGAATTAAAAAAGTAACAGTTTTGGCATATACCTAGGTTTTCCTATCTTACACCATAGCCCAAAACCTAGGGACTATCAATTCCTAATTGATAAGATGAGAATTAAACTTACCTCATGGAAAATGAAATTCTTTAGTTTGGCAGGAAGAACAACTCTTGCAGCATCATGCCTTAATTCCATCTCAAACCATTACATGTAATACATCCTCCTCCCCAGGAAAACCCTAAAAGAGCATGATAAAAAGTCCAAAGGGACTTCATATGGGGTAGCACTATAGAGAGAAGGAAAATTCACATGGTGAACTGGCCCACCATATGCCAACCCAAAAAATATGGTAGATTAGGCATCCATAATGCTCTTAATAAAAATCTTTACACTCTAGCTAACTTAAGTTGAAGACTTCTCACAAATATTCTAATTCCATGGGCAAAGCTTATCATATCTTACTATTGTGATAGTTCCTTTACGAATAGATCCTCCTACATTTGGAAAAGCATTTGCAAAGGGTGGGACATATGCTCCAAAGGCATCATATGGTCCCCCACCTTCAATCCAATCTTAACCTATGGGAGACCGATTGGATACCAAATTTTGGGCTAAGGAACCATGCAATAGGCCCATCTTCGGCCAAGGATATTTCCACAAAAATCAGAGATATCTTTGATGGTTCCAATTGGAATTTAGACTGCTTAACCCTGTCTCTTCCTACGGACTTATTAGCTAATATCACTAAAATAAAAGTTCGTCTTAAGAGCCCCTCAATCGACTTACCTATTTGGTCTCTCACCACTAAGGGGATTTTTACTACTAAATCTTGTTATACGCTTATCGAATCTCCTAATAATACTAACCTAGACTTCGAGTAGATTTGGAAATTGGACTGTCCCAATAAAATCAGATTTTTCCTATGGCAATGCCTTCACAATCGAATCCTTTGCAAAAAATACCTTTCACAAATTGGACTAAACATTGACCCTAATTGTCCCATCTGTAAAAGCTCTTATGAGGAATCAATCGAGCATATCTTCCTAGAATGCAAAGCTGTCAAAAAACTCTGGACCGACCTTCAATGGAGCCACCTTCCTAACCAAAATGGGACGCATTAGCTTATCCAAATAAAGGACTTCAACTTTCCTCTTAAACATGATTTCCTAAAATGGAACACTTTCTCTTCATCATTTGGCATATCTGGGTTAATAGAAACAGTAATAATCACAATAACACTTCCAACCAAATCAGTGGTTACCAAATCATTCAAAGGGCTATGGAGTTTAAATTATTCACGAAAAAAATCTCTATTCACCCTCCCAAATTACTAATAAAAATCAACCGGTTCAAACCCTCTAGGGGTTGGTTCAAACTGAATGTGGATGCCAGTTTTCACAGCTATAACCAAAATTGTGGTTTAGGTGGTATTTTTAGAAACGCAAATGGTAGCTGGGTAGTTGGTTTTACAAAGTTATCCCATGCAAATGGCTCATTAGCAGCAGAATTGAAAGCTCTATGAGAAGGTCTAAGGACAGCAAAGGAGTGGAATCTCTTCCCACTTGAAATAAAGACAGACTGCTCAGAGGTAATCCAGGTCCTTAATGCACCAGCAGAGGGTTACTCTCCAATACACTTTCAGGCAGGGGAATATGAGTGCTCACCAACTGGCAAAAAGGAGCCTAGGAAGGGATAATCAAGTTTTTGGAGTAGCAGGAAGAAGTAATGCTTAGAAGACCAGAAAAAGTTTTTGCTGAACCACCCTTTGATGTAATAGATTTTGTGGAAAGTGAGACTAGAAACTACTACCCATAAAAAACTGCTATGCAATGAAGTTTGCCAACAATTAGCAAGCATAGAGAATCAATGCATCCTTCGTGATGCATCTTATATTAATCATGTACTAGACGTTCCTTAGTTATTAATATATCTATTTCCTGTTTGCTAAAAAAACAACAAAAGAGAAAGAAAAAATAAGATAAAGAAGGAGAAAAAGAAAGTGGGATCCCACAAATAATTAAGTTAATTTAAATATGTAATGTCAAAAAATATAATATATGTAAAATTTAGTATGTGATTAACATTCTTTTCTTGATTCTACTCGAGTTTGGTATAGTGAAACCACCTTCTCTGCTATATTACCATTAAGGGGTTTTCAATTCAGTCTGGATCAGTATTGAGTGAGAAAGTTTTCCGTGAAGGTTGTGTGGAAAAAATGACTTTTCAGGATAAGTTCGGGGTGCATCTTATGTATTTTTCCTCTAATATATATGGTACACAAATGATACTCGACAATACACAGATTCATATCTCATTTTCTTTTATTTTCATCTTCTACTTCGAATTTGGCTCAAAATTTAATTCTTATCACCTCAAAACTCCACCAAATTTTCCATAATTGAGATTCAAACTGCTTGAGATATTCCTAATCTATTCCAATAACACCTACATAGAATATATTTCAATTTCCTAATCTATTCCAATTACAGCTACTTAGAATAGATTTCAATTTCGAAAACTCCAATTATCAAATCCAATTATAAGCGAGCTTTCAATGGCTTTAAATGGAGTTTTAACTCGTTTTCTGCGACCAAAGAATCAAATAAAATAAACAGAGACGAGACCTTGAAAACTGCTTTTTCAAGTGTTAGTAGCAGAACGCTATGTCAATCGGAGAAGGTTTTTGGTGACAAGACCCAGAGATATCAGAAGTGAGAATGATGTGAGTAACGAAAAATCCTGTGAAAAATACGATTGCCTGCCAATGGAATCTTGCTCCAATCTGACCTAGCTGGCGAGCGATCCGCACTCCAAAGTCCTCATTACATAAACATCCATATATCAAATTCCGCAATTTATCACAAAAGCCTATTCGATCCAAAAAGATGCTTTTGCCAAATCCTAACTTTTATTCGATGTAACAGTGTAGTAGCAACTGCAGACGGGGTTGGCATGAGACGTCAGTTCTTGATTAACATCATTTTGACACTATCTTTCTTTCCGAAAAATGCAGTCACTACCATTATAGAAAGTAAAGAGGAAAAGGCATAACCAGAAGAATTGTGTGAAATAAGTGAATTTGAGGCATTCTTGATTGATTGAGACAAAACGCAGCAGAATATTCAAGTTATTATCTCGAGGATAATAGATCTTCTTGGCTACATTCTACTAACTCTTTGGCATCTTTCAAAGGCAACTAGGACAATTCACGAAGGATGTATTTAGGTTCCATAGCTGCTCACGATGGACAGAATTTTTGTGTAAGTCTGTAATATTGGTTACAGTTAGCCTTTTTTTATAGATATTATTGAACATCTCATCAAAGAACAACTATGATGTGAGTTAAATGATATATTTATTTCTATGGTGCTTGCAGACTCTTTTCGTCAAGTTTTCCTTGGACGTGTATATTTACAATACGTTAGAGAAGAGATCTTGGCGCTATTCTAGCGCAACTTGACAATCTAATCTACCTCTTGTTTTGATGAAGATAGCAGGAATCAATATGGGGATGATGAAAAAGTTTCTTCTACCATAATTAACACTACTAGAAATTCGGTAATTAGCGACCCAAAAACGCGACCAACGTTGGTCGGTTTTGGTAAATTACCGACCAAAACTCGTCCAAACACACTTGGTCGCTATTTTGGTGGTCGTTTTAGTATACCGTCCAAGGTTGGTCGCTAAGGTAAAAGGACCAACTGTGCAATTTAAAGCACATACCGACCAACTTTGGTCGGTAACATATTTTAATAATTTAATTTTACTGACCAAAGTTGGTCGGTATAGTTAAATTACGTTATTTTATTAATTATTAAAATTTAAAAATTAGCGACCAAAGTTGGTCGGTAAAGTAAAATATATATTTTTTAAAAAAAAAAAAATTAACCATACCGACCAAAGTTGGTCGGTAAAGTTGAAATCTAGGTAATCCTTGTTCATTAACCGACCAACTTTGATCGGTAACTTTTAATTTTTTTTAAAACTTAAGCGACCAAGGTTGGTTGCTAATCAGCAGAATTTTGTTTTAATTAGGAACCGACCAACTTTGGTCGGTTTTCTAGGTTTTAATTTTGGCATAAAATACCTGTTTTGGCACCACCTGCTAGCATACCAAATCCATAAACAACAACACAATAACAACAACAACACAACAACAACAACAACAACAACAACAACAACAACAACAACAACAACATTCAATAAATACATTAAAACTAACAAATTAAAGTTCAATAGAACTAAAAAATCCAAAAACAAGTTAAAACTTATTACAACTAGTTCAAAACCGATTCTATTTGTCTAGTGCAAAGTATATAAAAGTCAAGGAGTGTTTTGTACAACAACATCATCACCGTCTGATGAACTTTCATCTAAAAGACGGTATCGGAAAGGGTCTTGTGGAGGACAGGAAGAACGACCACGGGAAGGACGGGAGGACGATCATGGGAAGGATGGAAGGAACGCTCACGTTCAAGTTGATCCTCTGGCGATGACTCACGAGACCGAGGCAACGGAAAAGCTTCAGTAGATAGGAGAGTTCTGATCTAAGCTTGCATGCCAAGGAACTTAGCATCTCTAACACTTTCTCTTTCCTTGGCCGCTTCTAGCTCGGATGTGAGCTTTGTCATAGTCACCCGCATAGCGGAGAGGCTCTCCCCATCAAGTTGATCGCCTTGCGAGGAAGTCCCTATTCCTTTCATTTCACACTTATATCGATGGAATTTCTTAGTAGGAAGCCCGTATACCTTCTCCCATTTTGGACCGCCAGCAGACTCCATCCATATTCTTTCAGCATCCTCGTCCGAAGGTTGGGTTGGCTCGCCCGATTCACCAGCTGACTGAGTGCGGATGAATTCCTCCACATTAGTTTGGTAGCGACCCTATACGAAAATTTAAATTGAATTAGTATTTCAAAATTTATATAAAAGTAAATTAAAATACTTAAAGAAAAGTGAAAGCTTACATATACAGTCGAGGCCTGGTCCTGGAGCCACCTTTCTTGATCCGTCTCTTTCTTCTTCTTTACAATATGTGTCTCCTTGAATAGCTCATCATGATTCAATGGATGCCCCAACTTCTTCCTGAAAACAAATTAATTTAGTTAATAAATAGAATAGATATACTTTGAAAATTAAAATAATTTAAGCAATTACGTACCAATCTTCTTTTTATTGTCCCTACGTTGATCGCACCTCTAGTATGCAAGGAGCCTTTCTTCTCAGAGGCGCGAGCTTTCTTTCCTTTTTCGCTCTTCTCTACGAACTTTGAGGTAAGCCATTGCCTTTGCAAATCATCCCATAAATTTTGAAGTAACCAGTTAGGCTTCTTGTTCTTCTTTCTAGCTTTGAAGAAAGTATGCGACAATCGCTTGCGAGCTTTGTGATGGAAATTTGCATCCACTTCCGCGCTATAGCGGTGTTCCCATACACAGTTGCTGTGTATTTCAAAAGTTAAATATTGTATGAAAAATATCATAAATATAAATTATTAAACTGCTTAAAAGAACATTTATACCTTAAATTGATTGAAAATTTGCTCCTTCAGCGAGAATGGAAAATCAGTCCAAGTCGCATAAGGGACATCATAAAGCTTTCTGATGGCTTTGGTGATTATCCTCGTAGTCCTATTACTCGGTATGAACCCGCAATTTAACAATAAAAACACATTAATATCTTAGTAAAAACTTTACAAAACAATAGACGCAAAAATAACAAATAACTCTTACCCATCACCCTCAGGGACTATGATGATCCTGCCATGTCGATCATACTGCACATCCTCGTCATCATCAGCATCATCGTCCGAAGTATGTATATCAAAGGCATGTGTGAACGGTGTAGGGGGTCAGAGCTACTACCTCGCAGGCAGAGGCTTGAAATAGATGGAGTCGATGATGAAGATGGATGCGATCTTTGTGACTGCGACATAGCTGGATGGACCCCAAGTGGTTGTGATACTGATGGTTGTGACCCGAGCGGCTGTGATCCATGTGGCTGTGACATGGATGAATGCGATCCACGTGGTTGTGAGGCAGCTGGACTGCATGTCGGACATATAGTCCTATGGCCATGTGATGAAAGACTTGGTGTCTGCACAAAGATGTAAGGCTCGTGATGTTGTGGCAGCTCAGTATAGCCGTGGGGTGGAGGATAAGACATAGGCATAGGCATCTCTGAAGAGGGTGGAGCAGATGGAGTATTATTTTCTACCCTTCTCTTTTCCTTCCTAGCCTTTTCTCGACCCCGAGAATCAGTAGGTTCATTGTTACCTTGACCCTTGCCTGCCATCTGCATAATATAATATATATTTAGATTGAAACATATAAGAAACTAGCTATAAAATGAGAATTATTTAAAAAACCAACTTTTTAAAGCTCATCGATGTATTGTTCCTCATCCGAGAATTCTTCGTCCTCACTTGTTTGAGCTTCATCAGTTGATTCTTCGTCCTCATTTTCTATAATTGTTACTTCATTTCTATCAACTTCTTCCAATATGTGTTCAGGATGTTCCAAATCATTTTCTAGTTGATCGTCCACTATTTGGTGAATACTAGAGATATCGTTTTGATATGCAACATCTAACACATTCTCTGCCTCCACCCTACCTACAGGCTTAGTTTTTATTACAACCCACCAATCAGACTTATTCTGTCGCAATGGATAAAGAGCATAATACATTTGCCTGACATTATGTGCAATTATGAAAGGATCATAGCGATCATACTTCCTCGTATGATTAACCTCAATTATGTTGTATTGGTTGTGCACTCTTGTACCTCTTGTTGGATTTAGGTCAAACCACCTGCATCTAAAGAGTATCAACTTCTTATATGGCCAACCTATATATTCTAGTTCTATTAATTCTTTGAGCACACCTGTCACATCCCAAACTACCCCCTAGACGTGACTGGCACCCAGCTAACACCACCTGTCGGGCGAACCATACTTTCTTACCTTAGCCATTAATTTACAGCATTTGATTAATTAAATTGAGTATCCAAATAATCTGATTACTATTACGGACAATTAATATCTCAAAATATAAGATTAACACTCTAACCCCAAATCCCACACTAGACCGTGGAGCATCTAAGAGAATTACAAAAAACCTCATATGAATAAATGATAAAGACACTTTGGGCAGCTTACACGTACAATGTGGCGGCTCACCTTAATGACTGAATCAACTCTAGCAAACTCGTCGGCTACAAGCTCCGACTTCACCAATAGTATCTGCATGGATACGCATGTAAGGAGAGAGTTATACGTAAATATAACCCAGTAAGATCATCGACTCGCCACTCTAAATACATGTGGAACAAGTGTTACAAAATACAAACACACAAAGAGCACAAAAATAATATGCACAAAAAAAATTTCACCATATAATTACTCTATAAGGTCTAAACAATTATTCAATAACAACACTATTTATATCTCAACACAATCTATATTAAGGACTAGTCATTAACGGCAGTGCAGGAAATTAACCAAACACTTTGACGAGTCCACGACAGCATACACAATGCCCCAAATTTATAACGGCGGCATACACAATGTCTCAAAATATGTTACGGCAGCGAAGGAATAAATTCTAATGCCCCAATGACATTGCACGAGGCTATGCCACATCACAAATCACTCATTAAATAATTTTATCATTTTACAAAATAATATATATTTGTGGCTGGTCAACGACCACCGATTCTGCCAAGCGCACGCTTGTCCCAACACATGGGCCGGGCAGAGAAAACACACTTTCAAAACGAATTTTAGAAAAGCAAGTATCAAAGCTTAAAGTCTCATTTACCTTTCTAACGGGAAGTTTCCCAATCTTGCAACGTCTAGAACACCAATCAATCAGCCTCAATGACCTCAATCTATATAAAATATTAATTAACAAGATCAATTATGCTAATCGGGTCAAATCTCAATATCCCTAACATTCAAGGTTAGAGTTGAATCTGAATATTCAGCCTATTAAATACCATATTTTTATAGGTAAAGACATATCCTAATATCTCAATCTAAACTCAATGTTTAATATACAAGTCCAATATATCGACATTCAAGTCCAAAAATCATAATTATGAGGTATGCAAAAGAAATTAGAAAATCGACAGTATATGTATGGTTTAGGTTCGATCAGTTCTAAATTTGCACATCAACTTTGCTGATTTCTCCATTGAAATCTTATTTTTATTTCCAATCCCATATTACCCATCATTGCCTACTCATTATATTTCCTAATCTTTAATATATATAATTGACTCATTATTTTTACTATCATTAACAAAAGAACATCACTGCAATACATACATGTAGAGTCAAAATCTATGCTATTGAATCAAAATAAATACCTGAGTCTATAAATTCTTACGTTGTCAGTTCACTATTGCCGCAGCAACTCCCGGGAAACCCGTCTCTATGAGCTGATAATCCCTTGTCAATTATAAGCCCTAATGTACTTAACTCCTACTACAATCCCATATGCTGGCATTAACCTATTGGGCTTGAACCACTTGATAAACTTTTACATATTACTTAATAAATTAAGTTACTTACCTTATTTATAATATGTAATTGACCCACTAGCCACTTATTTAATATACTATATTATATATAATAGTAAATTCTCTTCCACTAGCTTAGGCCTAATAACTATATTAAAAGAAAAGAAGTTAATTCTTCAATCTCACAATTAATAAGTATATCAAAATATTTCGGGTTATTACAACACCATAATAATTAATATCTCCAACTTGGTTGCCATCACCACCTTGAACCCACACCCCGTTGTTGTTGCTATTTTTATTCTTAGATCAATACTCTGTATGGAACTTATAACCATTCACTACGTACTTAGACATTGTTGTGACCTCAAGCCCAGGTCCCCAAGATATATCTATCAAAAATTGATTTACACCATTATTTGGATCATTTACTTACATAGTGTTAAAAAAATTCATAAGTTAGCATAACTTACAAACATTAGTTACCTACATAGTGTTAGAACATTATCAGGATAAACTTACAAATTGTTTGAACCATGTATCAAATCTCGTATATACAGCATCATGGCCAAATTGACCCACGAAGTGACTATGACACATCAAATATTTTTAGTAGTTGCATCGAGATGTAATCACAGTAAATTTTATATTTTAATAACTAATAAATCAATACTTACTTGAGAAATGGTACAACTTCGGGACAATTTAGCAACAGATGAAGTGTAGCTGACTTGTACTCCATACACTAGAAGAAAAATGTCGATTACATGGGGATTTTCCTAAGGATAATATAAAAATATCCGCAGGAAATATGATTTGCTGCGGAATTTCCTACCAAAATAAATCCGTTGGAAAAACCTTCGTAGGTAATTATTACCTACGAATTAAAATTTCCCCAGGTATATTACCTGGGGATTTTGTGTCCCCGTGTAACTTACTTGCGGATTTATCAGCGAAACATATCAAAAAAATCGCAGGCGTATTTTGGTAAAAATTCGTAAACAAAAGGATTTTTCTTAGGAAATTATGTAGGAAGAAATCCACAGGTAATTCCCCATGAAGATCCTCAAGTAAGTCCGTAGGAAATTTTGAGGTGAAAATTTATGGACGAAAGGGATTTTCTTGTGAATATTTATGAAAAATATTCCGCAGGAAAATTCCTTTAAAAATCCCAAGTAAAATCCGCAGGAGTATATTTTCGCAAGAAAATTCCCATGAAATATTTGCATGTAAAATCCCAGTAAAATTCCCAAGTAATAATTCATAGGTAAATCACCATGTAAAATTTCCAACGAAACAAAAGAATTATTTGAAATCCCCAAGAAAATCCATAAGTGCTATCGTAGGAAAATTCGTATGTAATATTGCATATAAAATTAACGCGTTTCAAAATATTTTCCCATAAAAATTCGCAAGTAATCTATACATTTTTAAAATATTTTTTTTATTTAATCTAGCTTATATTCTTACAATTCACCTATATTATCACAATCATTCCACACATGTCTAATATAATTATAACAAAGAAAAAAACATAATTCATAACATTAATATTAATAACATATAATCCTTCATCAAAAAGCAAAATATCCCAAATATAAAACTTAATAGTCTAATGAGCATCTCAATCCTAATTATAATCACTTTCATTCACGTTACCAAGGTTAGAACCACTTTCATTCACATTATCAAAGTCATTGTCACTTTCATCCTCAG